TTCCCTTCCCCATCTCCATCCTCTTCCTCCTTCCCCATCTCCATCCTCTTTTCCCTCCCCTTCTGCCTCTCCATCCCCCTTCCCCACCCCATTCCCATGCCCATCCCCTTCCCTCTCCCCATCCCCATCCCCTTCCCCAAGCGCCTTCCCTTCTCTGCTCCCTTTCCACCCGTTTCCCCATCCTCATCCCCTCCCTGTCCCCTTCTGCATTTCCATCCCCATCTCCACAGCCACCCCTTTCCCCATCCCCATCACATCCCCCTCCTCTTCCTCATCCCATCCTCATCTCCAGCCCTTCGGACTCCTCATCCTCCCCACTAGTCCCATCCCATCCCCACCTGTTCCCAATCCCCATCCCCTCATTCCATCCCCCATTCCCCATCCCCTCTGGTGGGACCACGGACCAGCCACACGCACAGAGGACAGCGACACACGACAGTGGCCACCAACACCGTCCCCCGGTCCCGCAGGCACCCGGAGCGCCGGGGCCGCGGTTACCTCCGCGGGCTGTCCTGCCCCCACCACGATGAGCTTCCCGTCCTCCAGCCCCACCAGGATGTGGCTCTTCTCCTTGGTGACGGACACGCTGTGCACGGGGACCCGCATGGGCACGGGTGGCACCGCTGCCCGGAGGCTGCAAGGGGGACAGGACGGGCACGTCGCACCGCTCCGACGTCGCCCGCGCGTTGCCCGCGGATGAGGCCGGAGCCGGGGCCGGCTCGAGCTCCCACCTCTGCAGGTCGCGGATCTCCAGGCCGCACTGCATGGTCCCCAGCACCACGAAGTCCTCCGTGACGCACATGGCCGTGACCTGCTCGTCCAGCGGGACGGAGGAGAGGTGCTTCCCGTTGACCGAGTAGAGGTGCAGGGCGAACTTGTCCTGGAGGAAAAGGAAACGGGGATGGGGCACCAGCGGGGATGAGGACCAAGGAGCAACGTGCGGGATGGCAGCAGGAGAAACCCCAAGCAGGACCAAGGCGCGATGGAGAAGGAGGACAAGGCTGCCACGGAGGTGGCATCTGGCTGCAGCTTGGGAAGGAACTGGGGACACGATGCTGCCCTCTTTGGGGACAGGACTTCCCCAGAGCGTGGTGACAACGGGCGCCTTTGGGGCAGAGGTTTTCCCTGGTCGAGGAGGACCCACCTTGAGGGAGGAGCGCTCGCCCACGGCGCTCTGGGCCACGATCTGGCCCTCCAGCCCCACGGCCAGGCTGGAGATGGCGACGGGCAGCGAGCTCTCGCTGGGCGGCCGCAGCGACTTCATGAAGAGGCCCCGGCGCACGGTGTGGATGATGATGGTGCCGTCCTGCCGAGGGGGACAACGTGGATCCGGCGCCTTCCCGGGAGAGGGGAGGAGGGAGCCGTGCTGCCCGCCCGCAGCTCACCTTGGAGCCCGACACGGCCATGTCCAGCTCGGTGCTGATGGCCACGCACGTCACCTCGTCATCGTGGCCGTACAGGACCTGGACGGGTTTGGGAGCCAGGCCGCTGGAAAAGCCACCCTGGCCAAAGAGAGAAGACCTCAACGGTCTGTGTAGGGCACCGGAGCTGGCCAGGAGCCGCTTGGTGGCAGCAAGGGACCTTGAAGGGCTCTGGGGAGCAACCAGGTGAGGAGGAAGGAGAG